GAATTTTTCTTTGTCCCACGCTCGTGTCATGTTGATTAATTCACCTTCACATTTCATTACCGAGCTTAAAATTCACCATCTTTATTAACTTATCATGTTGGGAAAATGTTCGGAAGCGTGCGTCTGGCCTTCGGAACAATTTTAGAAAATCTGAAAGTGGTCGGAAATCTTCGGAAAACCGTCAGAAACGTCGTCATTAGTACGTTTATATAATAAACAGAATATTACATGCCCGCTTGTGGATACGAATTTTATCTTCTCGTGTTCAACTCAATATCTCACTTGTTCGCTGCGCTCACTTGTATATCCTCTATATACATTGAATGACAAGTCACTCCACCCGCCCTCCAAAATGTGGCGGCAAAGTAAGAAAAAAGTAAGAAAAGTAACAACTGGCGAGGGCAATCTAACAGGACCTCCATACTATCATCCCAACTAGGACCATGGTGAAAAGATTGAGGAACGTTTCTTCATAAGCTTGGTCAATACGGGATTTATTGCACGACCTCGTGATTGAATAAAGGGTGTAGAAACTAAACCAGGTCCAATACTTGAGAGACTATTGGAGAGGTAATTAATCGGATGATAAACACACCAGGGAGATAATAAAGGAATTATAACAACCTAAATCTGTATTTATTACGTGATTTTTCATTTTTACAAACACCTAAAACAGAGAACGCCTTTCGTGGTATTCGTAGCAGCAGATCATGTTAATGATTTCGCGTTCTCTTCGAACATACTGTAGTTCTACCTCATGGGTATTGATAGCTGTAGAAAGATTTATACAGTATATGTACATAAATGTCCTTCTGCGCTGACATATTGACAAGGGTGGGGAAACACTCCCCTCAAGCAGCTTCGAGGGGTTCACACCTGTTCAAACTTCAGTTTACACTTGTTCAAACTCCAGTTCACACTTGTTTAAACTCCAGGAAGAGCTATAGTTGCAAACCTGTCTGTGTTCCATTGTTGTCCTCGGCTAGTAGAGTATTGTTTGTTGCTCTTGCTTCATCAGATATAAAGTAGTTTTTTTTTTCGTTTGTTTCGATTCCCTTTCGATCCTGTTGAACAGTAGATCTGAACGAGTTCAAGAAAATTCGGTAAAGTTTATTTACTCACTGGTCTCTGCTTTCCAAGTGCATGGTAAAAAAATGAATTAATTTTGGGATAAGGGACAATGTTCTTCATTTTTGCAGTTTAGCCAGAGTGCAAACTCGTCCAGAAATGAATTGTTAACTAACACACGTGTTCTGCAGACTTTGAAAAATTGTTACTGTAGAAAAGCCTTCAACTTCTCAAGTTGGTCCTCTCAGTCTAGTGGCCTAGAGAGAGAAAAAGAAAGAACACGACTTTATTAGTGCCATCACCACAAAATAGAGTGTGCTATTTAAAAGGTTAGTGCAAAAGAAAGAAAGTTGTTTTAGGCCTGAGTTAGAGTTTGGACCATACAAGAGCCCACAAGCGTTCGACGTCTTTTCTACTCTCGTTTCCAGAGCTCCTCTTAGATCTGACAATCTTATCGCTGACTATATAGGAAACAATTTCCTTTTCTCACTACTCACACTATACTTTCTACAACCAAGGAGTGTGAGCCGCTTTTCACCGTGCCTTGTGAAGAAGTGTATAAACAGCTGGTTCGCTAAGCCGGAATCTGCCGGTACCAGGAACAACTTTTGTCCACAAACAATGAAAACAGGCACTTATACTGATACAGTTACAAATACACAGAATTCAACACAGTTGCATCTATATTCAGAGCTTAACACATAGTACCTCAGTTACTGGCTGGGTAAAAATACTATTAACATTATTCTGCTAGTGCAATCAATATTGACTCATTTTTTTTTTACAATACCGATACAGTTTTGAAATTACTTTTTACCAGAATATACACGTATACTGTAGAAAAACTCATACACAACAGAGCATCGTCTTCATTGTCTTGCATTTAAAAAACCGTATTGTAACCAACCAGGACAATTTTTCTGTCGCGACTAAAGCGAAAGGATACGGGATGATAATTTTAGTAAGGGAGCAAAATCTCTCTTTCACTAATATACGTTGACAAGTCATCTTGGTACCTGTTGGGCATTTTTGACGCAGCTTTGAAAAATGATTGTATCAGATTGATTTCATTCTTGGACAAAATGCACCAATAAATTCTCTTTGATGACATTTCCTTGGACTTGGAATCCTCAAAAGCGACATTCGCACGACACAAACAATCTCGCCGTGCTAAGCTAGCAAGATTAAGGTGCACATGAGAGCAGAAAACGCGAGAAGATTTTCCTAGCCAATGAATATGATTACGCACCCGTAACTCAGTAGAGAGAGTAAAAACTCAAATATCAAGAGCTTTACTCACTTTTACATCTGCACGATATTACTTGACTTGATAACTCCATTGGCAATGCTTAAATCCCGTATTTGAACAACCTGAACAGGCTGGCTGTCCTCACAAATGACGTCTCCCATATTATAAGCCGGCACAGCCGGCATGGCTGAAGCATAGGGTACATATTGCTTTTTGTCTTTTTGTTTCTCCTTTCCTTCACCATCCTCGGATTTGTGATGTTCCTCTACTTTATTTTCCGGTTTGTCGTCGCTCTTTTTCTCGCTCACATCCCGCCGATTCCTGCAAGGTCTTGGAGCCGCTTGAACGTGGTATAAGATAAGAAGAAGGCATACGATCACGGCGTATGCTCGCATGGTAGAACGTGGCTCCAAGGAAACCGGTACGAAGAACTGTCCAACTGGCGACGGAAGAAAATATGTTACTTACTCTAAATTCTAACGGCGTCTGGACAATCCCCTCTTTGCGATTGTGAGTTCAGGAATCGCGTTCCTTACATGCTATTCCTCTTGGATTGAGTAAGAGGAAATAAATAAATTGGAAATAAATGGTCTCAAAGGAGTAAATAATTCATGATACATGAGCACGTATTTTATTGATAAGTCTTAGTGATGAAGTCCTACGGAGAAGTTAGTCGTGCTTGTTCGGAGATTTAGCGGTAGTCAGAAGACAGTTTTCAACGATGAACAATTCAAAGGGAGAGAATTGATCACATTAAATTCGCCTTATTAACAAGAAGCAAGTAAAGTTTATACTGGTCTTACTATCCCTCAAAATAGCGGTTGATATCTTTAGTTTAGTAGGTTATTTTAGGTGGGAAACGGGTACCGAACAATGAGCAAAGAATGAGGCGGAGTTGCGGTCAGGTTATCAAAATAACACTGCAAGGACAACAGCTTTCGACCTCGAAGTGACTCGGCCAATTCCGATATCAAAATGTCGTTAATTTTGCGTACGCAGGCACTGAAAGCATTTAATTGACAAGCCTTGATGGCTTCACGCCTGTCATTAGCTTGGATCGATTTATTGTCTACAATGACAAACGGTTGGTTCACTGGAGTCAGTGTTTGTGGTTTTATCTCGCGCCCCAATGAACCGAGGATGAACACGAAAAGCCAACAGAATAGAAC